TCGTGTGTGTTGTGTGTTAGCTCTGTGTGAGTGTGCACGTGGTTGTGTGCTTGGGTTGACAAGTGATTCCGTTTGTTGTTATACTGGCTGTGATGCGTCATTTTTAAGATTTCTGGTTGATCTCTGGCCACTGTGTCTATTACGGGGTGCCGTGACACATCCACACACGCTGATCGCAATCAGCTGCCAACCGATCTCAATAAGGCGCCAATAAAAGGACCGGATAGCTGCAGCTCGCCACTTTGATTGGTTTATATTTAAGTATCGGTGGTCTTCAGCCTTGCTTACTTGGCTTAGGCTAATGATCTTTCGTTCTGTTTTCTAACAATAGATCTTCCCATGAACCTCTACCTTCGGAGAATTACTGTCGCTTGGTACTGCAAAAGCGTGCGTACTACTTAGCGGACCCCAATAACGCTGTGCTTGGCCCGCATCCAATTGATTGTAAAAATTGTTGAAAAAGATAACACATACACATAGAAGCTTTGGATAGTAACATCTAATTCCACCGCGTATGCTCCAACTTTAAACTTTATATATTATGAACCAACTAATGCTCAGTTTCTCTGATTGGATCGAAGCCGAGTTTGGCCCGGAAATTCCTATTTTCCTCAAACCTGTAGCCAAAAGCCCCATGTCTGTGTGCATGGATGGAAAAAAATATGAGAACTTATCTGAGGGGCTATGAATGTGGATGTCTGACACAAATCATTCAGCTGAGCCAGCTTATCAAGTAGGGCCGGTAGACTAAGTCGAAGTTTTCATCCCATGATTTTATGAGTATAATAGGGGTAAAGACGATCACTCCTGCCCACAGATAATGCTACTTCCAACATAAAACTATTTGACCGTATATTCGTGAGTCGCGTAAGCTTATTTTGAATGTTTTCCGTTCGCATATGGATAGTGAAGCATCATTTATTGATTATTGAGATAAAAGGATTTAAGGAGAAAATACTGTAAACGGAACTGGATGAAATAAAATTATCATCCCATGACCAGAAGCAAACGCTCACAACAAAACAGACTGATGCCCATGTCGTTATCCCTCCCCCACTATATTGTCTGAATATGATTTATCACTGCCAGTGGCGATTTATTCGCATTCTGTGTTAGTTTGATTCATATGCCTAGAAAGTATCTGATTATCACTGGTACTGTGCACATCAATTCATTTGAATGTTTCGAGGAGATTTCATCATAAGCTTAGTTAATTTACTATGCTTTTTAAGGAGAGCATTTTGCAAACTTCCCACACCAGGCACTGCATTTATTTTTATTAAAGGCTTTGAAATACAAGCAGTCAAATCTATTGTAGGCTGAAGCCAGTCTTTTGGACCTATGCTATCATAGGTCGCGCGCCCATCTGAGCAGTTCTATTCACACATTCATAGAACGAGACGGGCGGATCTCCAGCTACAATAGATCTTTCATATGGCATACCTTTCAAAGGAAAAAATATTTCCCGAGTGTCATTCGCCCTTTGTGTCAAATAGTACTGACGAATACAGTCCATGTCTGTTCATATAAGAGACGTCGCCTGATTTGTAAGCCTTAGAGCAAACCGGTTTATGAACTGTCAAATTATTCATACAGTTATTAGGTATCTTATTATGTCAACTCATGTAATAACAAAACTTTGACCTAGACGTACTACACTACTTATACGGTTGTTGAGTACGCTTCGACAGTCCACAACCGGTTTCGCCAGTTCTGGAGCTCACCAGGTATGCGTAGTCCCAAAGTTTCTGTCAACGTCGTAAATGAGAGATTCAGCTGGATTCCAGGCGAGTCTCCCGCCGAAACCAAATTGGTATGCAAATGAGTGTGTTTCGCTAAAACTTTGACGTAACTAAAATTCTTTCCGATACAAGCCAAAACTGATTATGCATCCTCAGGGAAGCTCTTAGGTGAGTTTCACGGTTCTTTTGCCTTTCCGGTTTTTTTCACTTAGAAGATCCAGGAACCCTACCTTGAGCATTTTATCGGAATTCCTTAGAGTAACATCTTCAGGGAGAGTGTACGAAATGGTGAGGTATGCAGCTTCCCAATGACATTGGTAAATGTTATCATTTCCAGGCTTATTGCATGTTTTCGCGGTTAATTCTATCCTGAGTTCACCACACTCTGTGGTGCCAGGCAAGATAGTCCTCTGCCGTTCTCTTATTTTTTCATCTTCAACTTCATAATCGATATGCTGATTGAGTTTTTTTACCTGCTTCTAAAACCACAGGGATCGGAATACTACAAGGGCGTTTATTTGTAGAAAATGAGGACGCCAACTGTAGTGTTATTCTTGGATCAAACCCTCTAGAAACGCAAACTATTTTAAATGGCCTAACAGACCGAACTGCAAAGTTTGGTTTGTGCTTCGCATGTGAAAGTTGATCACTGTAAGATAGGATGAGATCAAACCTCGTGCGTGCGAGTGCACAGACCGATGTGGTAGATAAATTCACTTAGTTCAGCAGCCGCATAATTGCCGGTGGACTGGTGGAAAATAATGTCACTTTCCGAATATAGAAGGCTAGGGAAGCATTTACCAAACTTCCACATTCGTTGGGTTGACGTGAGATCAGCTTGACTGTCAAGGGTGGTGTACAATGCTTTGGTCTGGTCTATCATACTTTGCGGATCAGAAACCTATGTGAGGACGATCTTCGAAGACTATCCGTGTCTGATGATCGGGGCCCCCGGGAGGTTGCTCTGGTTTTATGGGGACAGGAGATCAAAGTGAAATACACCAGATGGTTTCAGGAAATAGCGTCCTCCCTCAATAGACCAACTTGATAGACCTCTCCATAGGTTACGGGTTTGTCCATGTATTTCTTGTACCAGTGGACTGTATACAGCATACAGCATGCACTACTCGTCCAACCTTGCATCGGATGAAGGCGACGCAGGGGCGGTCTCAATCCCCGCAATAACGGACAAAGAGAAACACTTGACGTCAACGGACTGGCCGAGCCGTCGCCTCCAAACCATGACTCTCATTCCCCTATTCTTATCCTTGGTGAACTAAACTGTAGCAGCTGGAACTACTTCAGTTCATGATCTGAAAATATGAACTAAAGTGATTTGTCAATGATTTCCACTTCCACTGCAGTGCACTTATGATGAAAATTAGACGGATGTCGTGAGCTGTGAACCCAGCGATAATTCCGAAAACATGAGATGGGCAAAACTACACATGGTGCTGGAAACTAGAAGGACCAACCCCTGAAAATCTTCCGGTGGGGAATTCGCATGAAACAGACACTTACGGTAGCTTGTGTTTAAAGTGTCATTTATCGAGCGTAGTGAGTGTGCTCTGCTTTTGAAGCTGTCCACCCAGGTCGAGATATACTAAGGAAGAACAGTAAATATATCCAGAATGGAGCCATTCAACTGGGGAAATTTTGAAAAATTAGTAATATTGTCCTCTGGTACGAATGAACACCGCTCCTTCTGTCAGATGAATGTAGTTAATGGTATCGAAATTCGTCCAATTAATTTGGCCCTGTTATAATGCACTCAAATATGTTAGTTTTAGCCGGTTGAACACGTTCATTTATCGATCTTGTCCGCACTTTTTGGGCTCGTCTGTGCGATTAGCACTGTATAATACTGTGACTTGCAAAACAGGGTTTCCATTCGGAATTAGTCCGCCCTTCAGTATTCTTCTGTTGTGCGGTTCGCTGTAGATGAATGCATCCATTAATCCAATTATGAGAGAACTGTAACGGAAAACTCGGTATCAGTTATCGAAGAAAGGTTTGGCTTCGCCAAACAGATTCAGGAATTAGTTTGGACGTTCATTTACCGAGTATGTGGAAGAATTTATAACTACCTTAGATGTGTGCGTCGAACGAAAACCAAAACTTTTATTTTTCCTTAAAGTATTTGTCACTAAACGGGGTGTTATTGAACCAACACCCTATTTTTTACCACCCAATGAGTCAGTGGATTTGAGTTTCCCATCCAAAAAACTATGCACTAAGGCACAGTAATTTCAGTGGTTACTTTTTTGTACACTGAAGAAGAAATAGCCTTGAATTACAGGTGATGGCCCATTCACCTTATTGACAATTAATTATTGTGTTTGTTCATCGAATGATCGCAATTCAATAACTTGTCTCTGAGCGTTGATCTCAAGCGTACATGTTATGAAGCCCCAACTAACTCTTTAGTAAATCAGTTCCATTCCCCAACAAGTTTATCAGAGGTGGTCTAGCGTAACGAGATAATCAACATCGACCGTCACATGATACGTCCATTGATCGATTTAAAAGCCATTCGCGCAATTGTTCACCAACTAGGTTAACGCGGGGCGGTTCGATCCAGTATGCTATTTATGAAACTTCGGCAAAGATTTTCGTTTGCCCGCAATAAGTTAGATGCGGGTGGTGACCATCGCTTGGGAAAGGTCAACTCTGTACAGACCTCCGAAACTCCAAGTGAGAACACTTTACAGGTATGCAGGTCTTATCGATACTGGTTAGCAAAGGTATTGAAGGTCAAGAAAACTTTGTGCAAAGTCCATTGGCGCAATAAGGAGTTCAAACAGTACCACTTGGGACGGCATGACAGTGAAAGTTGGTACATAAGAAACTGTACTTCTAAAATTGACCGGATGCTTAACCACGGTATTCTAAGTGTGGAATGGTTGTTCATTGCTATAGATTACTTGAAAACACTGGAATCAGACCTGCAGAACAAGCGGAAGTCAGTTCGAAAGCTGGTACATGACAACCACAGTTTGCAAAAATCTGTATTGGCAAAACATCAGCAGTGGCTAAATGTGATCGGTGAGTGTCAGCATCTATACAACCAATACAGGGCCTGGCAATTTGCTGTCACACTAGAGGATTCTAGTTATTCCGTGCTGAACCAGCTTGATGTCAGTTCAAAAAGTTTGGACAGATGGCAGCCTAGAAGACTTGACCCAGACAATCCTAACAAGTTGAGTGCCCTGCCATGGATTTTGATACCGGAAAACAAACTGAATTTCCAAACAGAAGTTGAGGAATTCTGGAAGCTGGGTGAATACCAGAACGCCATACACGTGGCCGTAAAAACCCTAAACACCAATAAAATTCTCCCTGTGACACAACAGCATCGGTATCCAAAGACGTCCATAGCTGAATTGCTAAAAGTGGTCAGTTATTTCGCTGACCTTTCGGTGAGATGCTTTCGAGACAGAGTCAGGGGGTTGGGCTTATTTTGTGCCAACTATGTCATTCGACTTTTGATACATCTCAATCCACCCAAGTCCTCTGCTTCAAGAAGAAAAATTCTGATGCCTGAAAGGTTCGTCAAACTTCGCGAACGTCTTGGGAGTTTACGTGTTCATGAGACTGACTGGGCTGGCATACTGGAAGCGTGTCGAAAGGTAATAGGAATATTCTGGCTTGCGGGACGACACACAGACGCCAATGAATTGGTAGAAGCTTTGTTCAGTGCTCGAGTTTCAAATAGTCGAATCGAGGAAGGCGAATCACAAGTGGGCCAAACCAGACTTGGTTGTCTGTTAACAAGTGGTCTTTGTTTATATGTAAGTCATGTCAGTTCCCTCTTCTCTCACATGAACAGACAAGAAAATCATGTTAGTCTACAGCTTTTGGAATTAGCCCTTCTTTATTCCGAAGGAGCCATTGGAACTGCAGCAATGGATATCAAGCCAAAGGAATGGAAATTGCGACCTTTTCAAAATGAAGATGAACTTGGAGCCGCCCTTTATTTATGGTTGCTCACAATAGAGAATACCTGTAGATTTTGCTCAAACTTAGGAAGCTCGCATGATGTGCTACTCCTAGCTCAGATTTCCTTGTCCGTTTATGGACACATCAGGGGACCAGGTGGTCGAGCTCTCAGTCAACTTTTAAAAGTGGCGCTGATGGCCGAAGAAGAATTCCAACTTTCCTGCATTCACACACAACTAAGAGAAGGAAAGTCGGACTTTTCGTTGGACACCTATCTGAGTCAACTGGATTGTGTAGAAATTCCAATTTCGATAGAATCGATCGTACACGAAGTGATACTGGTATGCCGGGGACAAAAGTGGAACTCTGCTGCGGAGCTGTTGGATTGGTGGGTTACTGGATGTAAGTTGCAAAGACAAGGCCACAAAACGCGTCAAAAAAGAGCAAAGTATACTCTGAATGAAAGTGCATTTCGGACCGATAAATTGCAACTGCTCAACCATTCATCAGTTGCATTGAAACGGAAAACAATTTTCCTGAGCTTTTTGAACAACGTAGCACAAATTTCATTGGGAAATGGAATGTTGGGAAACGAGGATTCATGCGCTCTTGTTGCCAGTTCGTCCACCGGAAAACATCGTGAAATGGAAACTGGGGATGCGTTTTGTAACTTCTCCAGTCGTCCAAGTGACCCTAGACAGGCCTTCTTCTCTCCAATTTATAAGGTATTTTTGCCAGGATTTATAGAAGCCCTAGAAAGCTTGCGATTATTCATGGGAGAAAACAAAACGATAGAGCAAAGTGAACAATTCTTTCGTCTGCAAAGCAATCGGAACCTTTATCAGTGGTGCAAAGGAGCACATTTGCAAAGGGGCTCAACAGATGTCTACCTAATGCCACAGGTCGAATTGCTACTGGATAGAAATTATATGGCAAATATGTGTGAAAACATTACTTTCCTGTTAACCCGAGATCTCGGATCAGCCCGTTCATTAAAAAACGCCAAGAAAACCACAAGTAGACGACAACAGAAAAATTTACACCATGCGAAAACGACACCTTTCCCAGTGGTAGAAACCTTAACTCCAATCTTGCAATCGAACACGTATCTGGTGTGAATCTGCTCAGGTTCAGGGACAAACTCCATGGACTTCCCTGACCGGAATGTAGTAAATGACACACTTGGTTCAAATGCACAGAGGAAGATGGGCTGATAATCAGTACGCGCAACTAGAAAGGCAAAATTCACGTGCATGAATGAGAGCTTGTCTACCGCTTTCCATCAACACAGTGAAGGTTTTGAAATTCGCGTGGAGAAGCTCCATTACACAACTGAACTGGAACGAAGAACTACACAGACCATATTCTATGCTCTTTATATTCATATGAAACTACCATTTTTCCAGACACCGTTTTTCTTTTGCCGGCGATATCTCGGTCACGAAATTATTTAGGAATTTTTTGCTTCAAGCTGACAACGAAATGAGAATCTGGGTTTTGATGCAGATCAGTCTTAGTTCTGTGCATTGACCATTAGTCCGCGAACAGTTGCTTCTATCATGGATGTCTAGCATTATGCAGTTTTGCGAGCTCTCACTGCGTATATTATTGCAAGTTGCCGAATCACCACACTGGCTTTCTGGAAGAGAACGAATCTTTAGGGTATGCTTTATGCATTTTTCTCCATTTTAAGCTCAGGACACTACAAGGACAAGCCTGGATTAATGATGGTGACACTAGGTCTGACAGTGATAACGGCGATATTTTAATGAACGTTTAACGTTGATGACCGTCTTTAGAACTTGACCTTATGTGCCAGAAAAATCAACTGACAAGGAGCTTATATTGCCTTTGCTATATAGGTCGTCAACGATTCGTTGTAGTCTTTTTACTAGTCGCAAAAACAGCCTCCTTAAGCATTGCGAATTATCGTGTGGTAGCCAACGTCTTCAAAACAAGAACCAAAAAATATGTAGCGGGGACAGATATCAGCAGATACAATTCACTGTGCATTTAAATGTGAATTGTCCAGTCACCTTGGTGGATCTTAACAGTGGTAGAAGAGGCTGGCTTATGTGTAATGTTATCATGGGCACTAGACACAGTCAGCAGGACTGTCAACCAGCACATAAGATAACAGGAATGTTTTTTCGGTTCGCAAGAACGTGATTTGACGTATAGCATAAATAAGGATGTACGATCAGCAACAGCAAATTGCAACCCTTCGGAAGATCATTCAGGACATCGATGGAAAGTCAGTAAGGCGGTCCTTCAATGGGAATGGCGTTGTCCAGTGAGTACATTTAATTGAATTTAAGCAGAGGTATACAGGTTTTTCAGAGTCGTTAGACTGCTATGAAGCAACAGTTGAGCAGATACTAGGGGATTCAAACATATCGAATAAGCAGACAAAAGGCAGTCAACAGGCCCGTACCGTGTCTTCAATACCATGCCAAATCCAGTCACACTTCAGAGTGTGTGCAAAATACACGGGTGTCGGTAACATAGGCCACCAAGGAATCATGTGTTGAATTGACCTTCAACACGTGGTGATCAAAACGTGATGGTCCTACGTCGGACAATGCTACCCGGGTCGTTTGGTTCGTCGACATGCGATGGCGCGCCGAAATTCCGTATTAGATTTCGGACCAGACAAACTTTTGCGCTGCGCGTATATTAAACTATAGCCGAGGCATACGTTAGCTGTGGGGAACAGACATATACAGCCGGATGTATCCGTTTGGTTGTCTGCTGCACAGGACACCAATCACAGACCCTATTGGTTAGAAAAAGCAAGAATGACACCTAAGAAAACAGGGAAAAGTGTGGTGCTCAGCGGCGCCGTGAACTAACAACTAGTCCAACAGTTTTGAATCCTGTAATAAAGCGCTAGTGTGATTTGTCGAACTATCAATATGGGGACTTATATTTCACAGGGACAACGTCCCAAAATATTTGCTACATTGTTTACTTCCAGCTTGAGATGACTGTCTGCCAAAGTATTGTCCGAACCATCTGAAACAGAAATGTACCAAATTTGTTACCCGAAGGGTTGAATATCCATGAGTCCATGAGGTTTTGCGCTTTTCGGTGCACCGACATATTGACCTTATTAATTGTAGCGGATGAAAACATCTCGCCTCGGGGCTACTCAAATAAACGAGCAGATGGTCGGGGTTGTTCTGCCCTCATATATCAATGTACTAGCCGAAAGCAGGCGCATATGAGTGCGCTTAGAAATGTTATCTTTTTTTACTGTTGAATAGATTAGCTCTGTAGAACAGCTTAGGGGGATTTCTGTGATAAGTGGCATGCAAATATGATGAATTTTAACATTGGTTTACGCTAGTTTAGTTAGAAACCAGGTAAAATCTTGCACCAAAAAGTGCTTTCCATTTATCAACGTTGACTGGGGCCGAATTTTATTTGGTTCGATGAGGCCAACTCAGAAGACAGTTGATGTGTGAAAATAAGGCGCTTCTTCGTATTTCGTAAAGCATGCGTATTATAACTGCGACAGTGCATTTCTACACTGTATCTGATGCTGGGGTTATAGTAAATATCGAAAACACCGTACTCATTTATAGCTGCCTATGCCCCGCTGCATAAATTACTCACAACCAACCCCACTCACACATTATACACGAGAGATTCAGCTGGGTTCCAGGTGAATCTCCTACAAAACCAAATTTGTTTGCAAATGTATTTCGCCAAATATGGGTTATTGCAGCAGTAGATGCACCTGCCAAACTGCGTGAAGAAATGCACAAATTCCTAGGAAAATACAAACGGTCTGTCTAATTAGACTTGACCTCTATGAAGCGTTGCCCAGTACCACCGCGTGTGTGATGCCACGATCGCGCTTGCAACCGGTCAGCGCTGATGCTGAAATAGGTCAATAGGTTTCAGTCAGCCAGCAGACATTCACGTGACTGATGAATTTCAAGTTTTTTCAATAGCGATCTCAATAATTTTGGTATTCAGTCTCTTGACTCTTGTTTGTTCGAATCATTCATCCACACATTTGTGACTGGTTACGGGCCACATCTTTCCAAGGCTCGTCCGATTTACGGGTTTTCACTACAACCATTTAGTGATCGGAACTCCTTGTTGTGTGCAGGGAAAAAGCTAACAAACGGACCTATCCGAGAGTCATATAGGGGGGCAGGTGTGAACGCAGATCTGAAATGACCAACCGATCTACAACCCACTCCACAACAGTCTTACGAACAAGCAGAGAGCAACTGTAAATCGGATGATGCAGAGTAACCACAACCATGAAACAAGAATGCTACTTTTTTGAGATGAAACATTTACGCAGACCACTGAAAATTTTAAATCAGAACATTAAAATTTCACGCACATGTGGTGCTCAAAGTGAGTTTAAAAGGGACTTGGTGTGCAGGAGGGTGTACCGTCTGCCCTGGAGCTCAGGCTTATTAAAGGCCTACAGACGAACTGGTCAGGGCTTAGCAGTGGTCCATTAAGTGAGATGTCGTTGATAGTAAGAACGCAAAATAAAAATTGACGCTTTTCCTGGGATTTGATTTTATATCTAGTAAGAAATCGGAGTTTTTGCTTGTCAGAGAGAAATATAACGTGTTCTTATAATCGCAGACTAGTCGTGAGGACATCATATAACAAAAAATTCAAAAAAATTCTTGAATCTCACGCTTACTCTAAGGTATTACACACCCATAGGGAACAGTTTGACTCTTTACCTGTAACCGGTGTTTTATCATCCATCATTGTCATTTTTCAACTTTTTGTGCAAATTTCACAGTAGATTGATGTTCATATTTTTAAGACATGTGAAAAGTAACAGTGTAGAACAAGGAAATAGCTGAGTACGCAGCAGGGTACAGTTCACACGTCTCTGACAAAGAGATACTTCGTGGGTGTTCATTTAATATGCCCCTCGTTCTTCATTCATTGTTGCTCCATATGCCTTTCCAAATCAGCGCCTGCATATAAAAATACATAAGAATAAGACGGTGCCTTTCTCCCTAAAAACTGATGAGTGATCTCTACTTTACAGTACGCTATAACTGGGCTGGACTTCTTTAAACAGAACGTATTTAGAAGTGTCGCATTGTATCATCACCCACCACTGGAAATTGCTTGGCTACTGGTAAGCTACGGTTACCAGTAAGTTTAGTTGCATGTACATACTATATTTTGAGGTGCGCAGATCTTCCGGACAAATCTATATAAATTTACAAATATCTATGTTCCAATGATTGACAGCGAAGTGGTCAGGTGTAGACTCTTCAAGCATTGCCTTTTCTTGCTACTGATAAATGTTTCCAAGTAGTTGGAGTTTCTAATTTATTTTCGGATTTAAAGGTGCAGCAGGCGGTGCGGTGTTCTACGAGTCCACACAACATTGAAAACCTCAAACCCCGAAATAAGATGGTCATATTCTAGTTTCTAGCAATGAATATCTTGGAAAACAGGTTAGGGGGAGGGGCGGTACTCACCACACGTTTCGCGGCGCAGCATGAATACGAGAACCTATGAAGGTATCATGATGAAGGGATCACCAGAAAAACTTGGGCACGATAGGTTCTCCAAGGTGGATGGCATCATGGAGAACAGAGGAGTAAGCCGTATTTGATGCCGGGATAAATAATGGAGTCTACTTCTCATGGTTGGATTTAACTCCTTATCCGTCTCATGGCAAGTATGCTTGTAAAACCCACCACGAGTTGTCGTTACCGGGCAAGTACAGGTCCAAGTCAGTGAGGGACCAGGTACCACAAAATAAACACAGAAATAGACAGAATATGACGAATTAACGGCACAACATTGGCGTTGTGCGCGACCTCGTGTAGCCTTCAGCTGGCGGATGTTCCAAACATACAAGGACACGAACTGAAACTCTCTGTAGAGAGTGCATTCCGTTTCGAATTTATTGTCACAACTTATTCATATACAAAGATTTGACTGTTTAATTCTTCAGATTCCACAACACTGCTGCTAATCTGTTTTTACTGAGGACGATAGTAGTCTGGGAATACTGCATTAAGCGTGGACAAATGCTGTTGATCATCAGTATCCGACCAATGACAATGGATGCAGCCTCAAAAAAATTGAGGACATCTCTTGTAGGATCTCTGCCTATTCCACTTCTTGAATTTTCTTCGAGGAGCTATAGTTGTGACTTCCATCCAACTCATCGACAAAGCTGAAGCAGACTAGCCCTAGGACAGACCGTAAGGAATCTTGAAAATTCCAAAGGCAAGCTTGCCGTAAAGTCACACAGCCTTATGGACGTTTCACCTTCCGAGTAAGTCCGAATCGTCAGGTGTGTATGGATAAGGATAAGTGTTCTCCGCTTCCCGGTTTCTAAGAATGATTTATGAAGAAAGGTACTAATGATTATCCACAGGTTTTTACTCTCTTCGTGGAACAAAACCAAGCCATACTGACCAAAAGTTGATAGTCATTCTAATCGCTTTCTTGCTGACATCAAAATGAGCACCACACATCAAACAGAGGAATAAGCTTTGAAAAGTGAGTCGCCTGGTTTCAATCGGTTAGTTATCAGTGCCCAGCCTGGAAATGTGAATTCACGTTCGCGAAAGTCGCGGCCTCAGCTTTTCAGATGAGAACTATTACCTATTTGTGGGCATCATAGATACTTCTGTAATTTACACAACTTCCCATTTCGGCAGGCTTGTTCTAGTTAATCCATATGAAAAGAGAAGCAGGGCACTAAGGTTTCCCCATCATTAGGTTTTACTGGCGAAACGGAGAGGATTTTGAGCCCTGTCAATCTGAGGTGAGGTACACACACGACCCTTGCTATACTAGCGTGCCCTAGAAGAAAACTGAAAAATCGTGATCTGTGTCCAGCATGCGCTAGTGGAGACGTAACGACTGAAGGCTATATCCTGATATGGTTGAGAGAAATGACTGCTGGTTAGCTCACATAAGCAAGAAACCTATTGTTTAGTGTGCTAGAAAAGCAGAATGATTACACTGGGACAGTCGAAGGCCTATTCATGCAAGCATGATGGGGATGTGAGTCTAAAAGAATCCCGCATCCACATACCAATAATAAAAACTACTACTTTTTAACTCATCTGTATGATGAAATGCATGGAACTGGCGACTCGATGGTGTCAATTGTATTAAAATTGCCTTTCAAAGCAGGGCTTAAATGTTTCGGTTTCATTCTTCTACGTTTACTTACTGAGTCAAAAACAGAGCTAAACCAGTGGCGGCCATTTTCCGAAGCCACCAATTTTATGTTTATTGATGTGGAACAAAACATTGGTGACTCCGTTTCTTCAGATGTGTGTTTCATATTCGGCCTCTGATGCTGCTTTCACGGGTGAGTTATGTTTATGCTGATGAACACGGGAGAAGGAATGGATTTGAACAATAACTCACTATGGACGTCATACGCTAATCATAATGTTGTTGAAACTCTTCTACAGCACACGAAAGGTTTCGACCTTCTTGGGGCTCATCAGGTAGGCACAGTCCCCGAGTTTCTGTCAACCTTGTGTTCTACTTGAACCCAAGTTGTATAAAACTAGGCCATAAACGAAAGATTCAGCTGGGTTCCAGGTGAGTTACTTGTCAAAACCAAATCGGTTTGCAAGTGAGTGTAAATCTCCGTGTAAACCCCAGCGGTCGAAAGTCACCTTGGACTCCCAAGAATACGAGACAAGGTCCTTAGATGTAGTTTGTTTGGAACTGTTGTGTCCCGGATGGCAAGTGCATGTAAATGCACTTCAGGGAGGATAATTTGAGATGAGATTTCCCATGCTTAAACCACCCAGATTGGCTTCGCTACAGCACTACCAATTTTCAGTGTTTGAAAATGACCGAATATGGCCTCTAGCCTGTCCTTCTAGTCGTGTCTCATAACTAAGTGAGTGTAACCTCCGTGTAAACCCCAGCGGTCGAAAGTCACCTTGGACTCCCAAGAATACGAGACAAGGTCCTTAGATGTAGTTTGTTTGGAACTGTTGTGTCCCGGATGGCAAGTGCATGTAAATGCACTTCAGGGAGGATAATTTGAGATGAGATTTCCCATGCTTAAACCACCCAGATTGGCTTCGCTACAGTACTACCAATTTTCAGTGTTTGAAAATGACCGAATATGGCCTCTAGCCTGTCCTTCTAGTCGTGTCTCATAACTGCTGAGATACATTCTTTAGGATGGTGCTTGCTATATATGCTTATGGGTGCGCATAATATACTAAAACCTACTAAGCATAGTAAAATTTGACAGAGTATTTCTAACTGATATTAGACCATGGCCTGTGTCAGCAATCAAACAAAATTTACGCTTGTCGCCTAGAAGCAAGCTGGTTGAGTTACTCGATGGTCTGATTAGCCTCCGTTAAAGCAGTCTACGATTTTGTGCTCGTTTTGATCTCCTTTTCTGAATGCTATCAAATTCTCTATTCATTTCCGAATTTATCCTAAAACGACCGTTCTTTTACTAAAACTGGCGTCGACCGATGATGAAAGCTGCACTTTCTGAAGTGATCTTCCTGAAATAATTGCTTCTAAAGATTCAGGTTCTCTTTTGAATGTTGGTAATTTGAAGTTCAAAATATTGACACTCAGATATACATTTTGCTTATTGCTCAGCTGTCAGATATGCGGAAGCTGCACAGCTCATCTCATCTGCGTTGAAAATCCAAGGCCTCATTTTCACAATTGATGTACGGTAGGATCAGCTACTCACTTACAGATCTGTTAGTCTCTCAGACTACTACTGAATAGTAAAGATAAAGCTGTCCGTCTGTGTAAATTCAACAGCGATTATTATGCCTCCTCTGGTAGCTACAAAAGATGCACATGATTTCCGTTATGTTGTGGCTCGTACATTCGAAAATGCTATAATATAGATGGACCGGGCATAAATGTCTTTGAAAGTAAAGCTGTGTCACAATTGAATCCCTGATTCTTTAGCTTTGGGAAATTTCTGAAAACCTACGGAATAAAAGAAAGCGTTTGACTTGAAGTAGTGCATACCTGTATTGTAAATGGAGACTTTAATTAATTTAAGACGGTTGACTTTATTTATAAATAATATTTGATTCTCCCGACCCATTTGAACATCCCAAGCAGTTGGGACGTTGGTGTGTTCAGGTTATTTCTGACTGTCAACTGAAGCTCTTCGCGCGGGATTAATGAGGATCGCGTCAAACTTTCACGGGTACACTGGTGACCAAATGTCATTGTTATAATCAGAATACACATAATGCACCAGAGAAATCATGAACAAGGTTTCTCAGTGTCCCCTGGACAATCTACTTGTTGTAGAAGGCAACCGTCTTCTGCACAGTTTAAGAGCCTTCTGTTGTCCAAAATACTGGCCCATAAAGCTTTGAAAAAAATCCTGTGAACCCGAGATTCCTCGGTGTATACCTACTGGGCTTATTAAACAACATCAGAAAGGCTACTCCATTATCAGTCTTGCAGTTTCACGAGAAATATCGGCAAGACCATGAAAAATCAATTTTGGTTTCCACCCCCAGCGCGCACTAGTTTTCCACTGTCTATGACGGCCTAAACAAGGGTAGAGACCACATGAAACCGGAGCTGAATTCGACACCCGAGGGAGAGAAACGCACTAATTCCCTCTCATTTGATTGGTTAGAATCTCACGCTTACCTGATTGTCGCTGTTTTACCAGTAACGGTACTCAGCGTTTAGCGATTCCCACAATGCAGATGTGCATAGATTGTGGCATGAGAACACACGCACACAGAGCAGACAAACTGTCCCAGAAATTATCCAACACCAGTGAAAGTGGGCAAATTTAATTTGTCACTTAGATCAGGGAGCTTTATCCAATTTGGTGTGAGGAGCGGTTAAACATGTCCGAAGGGGGAGAGGGAAGGACAGTCATATTGCTAACTAGAAGGCGATCAATTTCCCCCTAATGCACATGTTTGCCAGCACTGGTTTTGCCCCAGCTAATTCACTAATTGCTAATTGCTAAATCCATTTAGCGGTTTAACAATCAGCTTCGATCCCATGTCATACTACACGAATAACATACCGCCTGTGCTAAATCATCAAGACCTAAACAGGTACTATCCATCTGACCTAGTGGACGCAGATGTTGCTGCTTCGCCGTGCACTACCACACAGTGGCATGATCCAGTACCTGACTACACGAGTTCCAGAATCGCCCTGCCACTATCTACGGAATCTGTCGACCCGAACTGCTGTTCAATCCAGTCGGTCTACTCAGTCCACCCAGCGTCTGTAAAGCGAAGCGATGTTATAGATCCAGAGTTAGCCGTGCAAACGGTGAGGTCGAATGTTTGTAAACACCGGACGACAAATGAAGATGCAAAATTGGATAATCGAGCTTCGGCGACGAACTGGGGAGTTTCAAGTGCCATATATGCACCAGCCAATCATGATCTGATCAATGAATCCAGGGTGGTTCCATTTCTGGGTTCAGCTGTATGGGGGCAAGCCTATTGGAACCAGTTTGCAGTTTTGACCCATAATAATCCAACTCCCGTAGGAGTTCCATTCAATTCTAGCCTGGGCCTTGAATATTGGGACTTGCAACATCCTTCATCGTTGGCATCATTCTTATCGCCCAACCTGAACGGAGCCCAGCGATCAAAATATACAAGTCATGGTGTTACGGATTCAACCATCGGAACCAGTTCAAAGCCAGAATCAGGAGAACAAGCCAGTTTCATTCGGGGTTTTGAACAAGGCAATTCCAACGTTTACTCAGGACACGGCTCGAAGTGTGATGACGATTTCAAAGCGGATGATTTACCTATTCCATGGCCCAACGCTTTGAACCTCACTCCAGGGTTCTTACCATCGTCTAGTCAACTGCTCACTAACTCCACTAAGGTATTTGACCAGCCTGATAGATCATCCAGAAGCGTTCCATCCCAATGGACAAATGGGACACAAACCTTCGCCTGCGCAACAAATAATGAGGATGTCCGAATAGCAAATGGTATCAATCAGGAAGACTTAAAAGCTTTTGAGAATACATCATGTGGCCTCAAGCACCCGGATAAAGGCAACTCTGTAGACACAGAAAGCAGATCACGATTCCAACAAGTCACTGGCTCCCTGGAACTAGGAGAGTCAGCAGACTGTCGTAAGTATAATTTTATTTATGTTTCGAATATAAGCGTATACTTTACTGTCACAGCATTTAAAGACAGCCAAACTGATTAGGTTGGATTGTAAAAATCCCGCCGATTCTACATCCTTCATGCTATCCAATATACATTAGCCCATGAAGTGTTTGCCTACAAAATTCATCTGTCAGATAGCCCAAAACCGATATAGGAGAGAGTTATTCCGTGATTGTTAGCATGTTTTGTCGGAAATTTTGCAAATTTTTTAGCCTGAATTAATTTACTGGCATTTTTTGCACGAACAGAAGCTTACTGTTCTAATGGTATGACTTCGTATTTTTGATCTAGCAAAATCTTTCCAAGTGACGCAGACCTTTTGACTGACGAATCAGCTGCGTGACTTTAAGGTGAAAAGTAGAGAAGCCCATTGCACATGTGGCAAAATGTGTGCAGAGGCGAACATTTAGTTACAAACTGTGACGGTATCCAAGGAGACACACCTGTTGCTTCCGCTGTTACTCAAGAGAATTACAGCGTGAGGGATATCCTTTGTATTGATATTCAAGACAGAAATACCAGTACTTTTACGGGTTACTGCCAAAGTTATGAACACTGTAGCACACGTAAACTGTTCATCCAGTGCCACGAATAGAAGTTAGGTCTCACAATCGTACTTAGTTCTAAGTCAATCTATTCAACTCACTCTGTTGGGCACTTCCCTGAAGGTCTTCGCGACTGGATTCGTCACATACCAGGTGTGAATTCAGATTATGGTCCAGACATTGTTCGTTTCTTGCTGCCACTGAGATTATTGTTTGATCCTTTGTGTATGTGCCCATATAAATGTAATAACGAAAGGCACAATGTAGCTCTTTCACGTGTGACAGTGAGGATGATTGCATACGCTGTTTCAGCCCATTGGTTTGGTTGTTCGACAGGATAAGATTTCAGCTGCTGTAATCAAAATCACTTTCAACAATCATGATACGTATCGGCAATAATTACTTGAAGTGCATGTTGTCAGGTGTTACATAGTGACGAAGGACCATCAGTGGATCAATGCAACCGATTAACAATCCAAATCGCGGCACAGGTTTTCGAAAATCTCCCAGTAACTCTAGTGCATAATTCTAGGTGAGAACTGTATCTAGGGAGAAAGTTCCGTCTATTCATTATCACTTGCTCAGCATCCACTCAGAGATTTCACCAATTGACCAAACTACAAGGAAACGCTGGAAAATCTGAGCTGAGATGTTTAATTGAGGCATAATTTGAGGTTGTTTTGGTGTTCTTTGAGTACCGATCTACAAAATTGTGCGTTATCTAACAGAGTGAAGTCTCAGCAAATCTTGGATCAAAACGCTCTTCAAATTGCGTAACCAAATATCATTTAAAAACTCGATACAACCGTGCACTTCTGTGCATGTGTATTGGTTGTGGAGTCAACCATTCAAAGACACTACTGCATAAGGGTATCACCGTTGATATTCACATGAAAGTGCTTTGGTCGTTTCCATAAGCACTCGAGGTAAAGTCCTGTCTGAAGTTCCCTACTTAAAGTAATGTAGCAAGATAACTAAGAGATAAAATATAGAGTATAAAATGTGTACACCTGCATTATAGAACTTGAAACACATTTTTGCGGTTCCTTCACGCTGCGCTCGGACAGCTTCACATGCTGACCAGTTACGTTACTGAGCTGAACGCCACGTTCTAGGGCCTTGTACTGTTAGTAGTATTCCGGTACAACGAGCGTAATTGTAGCCATCGCATTGTACCATGCGACAAATGGATAGCTAGCGCACTAATTTAAGCGGATTTTGAATGACACCTAGGCTTGATTATACTAGCGGATCCAATTTGCTTCACCTGGCTTCGATATGACCTAAAAGAGCGGCAAGAGCTGAAGGCCCACAGCAACGTGGCTTGAAATGATTGGTCGAAGTAAACGATGAACGCAATGTAGCATGTTACAAGTTCCGTAGTTTAAAAGTAAAAGGTACCTGGCGTGCAAGGTCACAATGCAACACACAGCATGCTCAAATCCCAATAAGAACGTGATTTCACGTACCTCGTAGTGGCGTGCGTGTGTTCGTTCGTAAATATGTATAAATTATTAGGTAGCTTCCATCCACAAAACAGCCCGAAAGAACTATGGGCATCGTAGTAAGATTCATGGATTTATTGAACACACACTTGTCTTTCACAATAATCTGCAAAAGACTCCCTGTTGGCCTTCTGCCAGATTTATGCGAATGCCTCAGTTTGTCTGTAGAATTCCCCTTCTGAACACGGCCGAAATATTTTTGATATGTTGCGATTTTCAGGCAGGTTTTTTGCTGTTGACTTAGGGAAACTCCTCTGATAAGCCACATCACTTAGTTCCCAAATGAGGCTTCTTTGCTTCTGTTCAATCCACAAACCTAGATAGAAGGGTGATGACCAAAAATTTTAATGCCTAGACGTGGACGAAATTGACACTGTGTTTACATGAGTATACAGTATGAACGAATAAAAAACTTCTGTACCCAGATGCATACTCCTCTAGATGTTATTTGAAATTTACGCCGTTAAAATATGCAATGAAAACTCGGACTTTTCCGTGAAATTGCATATATATGTATGTCAAACTGACTGATATGAAACTGATTTCACAAAATATGACATGGAATAAATTCCACCTAGACATTGTTAACCGGACTGTTAGGTGTCTTCTATGCTAGCATCGGCTTAAATTTGACGGAACCCGGTAGGGGCGACAACTACGGAGGGATGGTCCTGCGAAGGAGCACGGAAATTAGTGGGGATTTCCTCCTGTATCCGCTGATCAAACTGGGACATCTGGCCAAATCCCCCGTCCAACTGTTCCTGACACTTACCAGGAAAAGAGTGCTAGTCATATTTAATTCATAGTCACTGGCACGTTATCCTAGTGAACGGGTTACCTATATTTGTTCTTCGCAGGCACCTCTCACGAAAGAGCCATCAACCAATTGATTAAACGGCAAACGCATTCATGCGCATACCAATTCGGTTTTCACTGGAGACGCGTCTGAAACCCAGATGAATCGCTCGTTTTTAATGTTCTTCTTCGACTGAAAATGCTACACCAGGCCGCCTCATGTTTCAGTTGGTACGATGTTCACGATGTCGTAATACACTTTATTCGTGTAATGCACTACTCAAAAGACTCATGAAGAATTTTGACAGCTCACGACCGGTTTCGTCCTTCTTGGGGCCCATCGCTTATGCACAGGCTTCGAGTTTCCGTCAACCCTATATTGTGCTTAAACCAAAATTGCACGAAATTCGACAAATACACAACCAAACTGGTATGCATGTGAGTGCGTGTCGAATTTCGTGCAATTCTGGTTGCAGTAGAACATAAAGTTGACAGAAACTCGGGAATCTCGCCTACATGATGAGCACGAAGAAGGGTGACACCGGTTGTGAGCTGTCGTAGAGTTTTCAGTAGCCCTATGAATAATGTATTACGTCTACACAAAGGTGATCTTAACGCCGGCATGGATAAGCGTTAGCCATGTAGCAGGCTATGGGACAAAATTGATATGCATGTTAATCTGTCAGTTACATATACCACTGTTTCTCATCTCCAAAGTAGTCGCGTTTATAGTGTATTTATTATTTACTGTGAATGTCCCATATGGTCTTCTTCGTGGGAAGTGATATCTGCCCACTGCTTTGATTAGCAACATAAATCTGGTCTTAGCGTGCGGAAACGCTGCTACATGAGGTGGCTTCATGTACTATGCGTAAAGAGAAAGTTGATAGCAGTATTCGATGACTAGAGTGGGGGATAGATCCAACTTAAATTTCAGACAACTTTTCAAGGTACTCAAAATAATTCGCTTAAATTATCGCTGATTAAAAATTACCAGAGTCTCTTTTAAAATGCTTCCTCCAGCAAGGCTCTTCAATTTACTCCGGACAATCTACGATGGGAAAAGCAGAGAACTGTAATAGATCATGCAAGAACATGTAACCATGTGCAACCATGAGAGTGTGCACATTCTACAACGTGTCGTTTACAATTCCGTATTTTACTGGCTATAATGAGTGCTTTGATGTTGAGTGACTTAAAATTAAGCTAGTGCTTGTGCTCTTCAAGATCTTTACCAGAAGTTCCCTTAAACAACTTTCCTCTTCCTTAACCCATTGTAAATTAGATTTAAGTGTGCGGTACTAGTATTAGTGATTCTTTTCTGCTGAAAATTCGTCGACAGCCCACGACAGGTTTCGCCCTTCTCGGGACCAGTCAGGTAGGTGCAGTCCCCGGGTTTCCTTCAACCTTATGCTCTACTTGGAAACATTACGAACGAGAGTTTCAGCTGGCTTCCAGATGAGACTCTCGAAAAACCAAGTTAGTTTGCAAATGAGTGTATTTTGCTAAAAACTGTATAATTTAAGTCGGACGTGATTTTATGATCTTCAGATCCGTCTTTAAGGCATGAACCTAACAGCGAATTCGCCTACTCTGTAAACATGAACGTAAACATGTATGAAACCGTTTGAAGGTTCTTTTGACGGAACACGGGGTCGCTGAAAATTCTTTGATAGCCTACTATCATCTTTATTCTTCTGAGGGCTCATCATTCATGGATACTCACAGAGTTGTCGATGACTTATTTAAAAGGTACCGGCTTGTGAGTTGATCATCGAAGCAGTTCGTTATTCTGGGATCAGTAGACCAATTCCATGCTTTAACGACGGGCATGTGTCACTAATTCACAGTGTGCTTACCTCATATGCTGGTGGCACATAGCCAAAACCGCATTATTCCCATCCGAGTTTCAGGGTGGGAACAGCTAATGTGGCCTCGTTACAGTTGATACCATGAAATGGCGATTCAACGCGTTCCTCTCTTATCTGGTACCTTGTCTGACCTACACTTCAAAAGGTTTGGAGCATTTAGCATTCGGCTAAAGATCTCATTGCTCTCCAAGTCAGTAACGATGTCGATTCGCCACTGGACATTTCTGAAGACTGTGCAATTCCCGTCGTAGTGATGAATGAAAAAAGATGACGTGATTTATGATTGCTTGCGTTGTGACATGGTGTTAAATCCTTGCCACGAGCCGGAATAATCAAACCATTGGGATAAAAGTTAAAGACTAAACAAAACAGACTAAACAAGCTAAACAAACAAAAACAAAAAGGCGTGACTTCGTAGAACGATTAATATTCTGCGAGATGCCTTACTAACTACAAGTAGAAAAGGGTTCAAATTAGATCTGAGGGATTAATTTGCTTTTCAAAGAGCAATAAAAAAGGCACCCTACTGCTCGCCAGAAGTGTACACCGCACACACTGAGATGGACTACACTAGTTGAGGTTTTTGTTTCATGTCCCACCTGACTGCAACTTAGACAGTTCATCGATAGAATCTGGGAGCCGCACGCTTGAATCTACAGATGAAGGGAAATTTGCATTAGTGATTCTTGCCAGTGAAGGTGAATGCCATTTGCCATGTGCCTTGACTTTTCACTGCGGGATGGCTTTGCTTATAGGATGAAATCTAAGTTTAAAACTTCAAAGTCGTTGCGATACATAAATAATGAACAAGGCTTTTTGTTTCGAAGAAGAATGGAGACATGTAAGCGTATTTTCCAAGAAGAAGGTTTTAGTTTGAGGAGTTGTTACAATTTTGCACTGGTTGCTAATGAATTACGTGGAGGTGATTCACTGGGTTACGCATGGTAGTCTTGAGGGTGACTCTTTTTAACTTCAAAATAGCTAATGATAGCCCAACGTTACTTCTGCACGCATGAAATCATATCTTTCCTGTCGTGAGCACAGTACATGAACAGAACTAAATAGCATCAAGCTTTACGCACCGCTCTCTCTACCGGTTTTGTGCGTCATTACTGTCCTTGAGAATCTACAAATAGTGTTCCGGCAAGCTAAATTTTCACTCATTATCTACCGATAACTATGGCGGTTATCCTCGTCGTCAGTCAAATGGGAAATACTGTGAATTCACCATTTAGGTCAGACCAGCATTATAATTAGTGCTTAGCTGTTGGTCTAGTGTGATGTAAACTGACCTGAATGGTGTGAAATTCGAATCCGACTTGGTCTGTAACCCCACGGGAGCATCTGCCCTTTCACGTTTTCCCTGACTGCTCCACAACCAGGTGAAAACGACGGCTTAGCCCAAATTTTTCCACGTGATGAGTCTCATGTTGTTTTCCTACAAAATTTGCTTATCCATACCAGCCTCCTCAACCCTTCCACATCGTTCAATATTAACTCGCAACACCACTCCCCCATCTGGACAGACAGAACGGAGCTGAGCCGTTGGGTAAACACCAAATTTATTCCTGCCCAAGTCGCTCGTCCCCCTTCTCTCCTCATCACCCTGGCAATCTGCTATCACCGTACTCAGTGACAGTTACCAGTTCCAAAACTAGCTAATTCTATTAGCAATTTCGCTGGAAGCGCAGATGCACGTTTTTTGATTGACTGATTCTATGTTGGAGTTATTATTGATTAAATCAAATTTGTAGAGGAACTTGCGTCTGGAGTAGAGTGGACTCAGAGACTAGCATGAGAGGGGAAGGGGGAGAAGGATTTGTTCTGTGTGGACAACGGTGGACAACTGTGGTTTCGATCAACTGTGATTACTATCTAAAACGAATGATATACCTTCCCTCTCGATGCAGAAGCCGTAATTAGACTCAAGGAATCGATTGCCATGGCTACCTCGTGTAAAAAATATAATATCCCGGTAATGATTTGGTTGATTATTGGCAGAAAAATGACAGCAAGAGCCCAGGATTTCAGTAGGGGAGATGAACTTCCTGAAGATGCGAATAATCGGAAGTACAAAAGATAACAGAAGTGGGGTTGAGAGGTATATAATAGTGTTGAGTGTTGGCCCCATACTGTTAGATCAGAATCGACCCCATTTCATTTATCTTTGGTAACACGAGTGATTTCGCGGTTAACGGGGGTCACCCACGGCGGTTATATGATGAGTTGTGGAACATCTCTCTTGATCCGGCTCTTTGACAAAAATACTTAACTCAGTTTATTTTTACATAGGGCACAATCCCTTCCACTTTTTTCATGCGCCATTTGGTGCACATTCTCAAATTCTAGCATTAAAGTTATATCGAATCGGTTGTTGGCTAAATTTGTGCGCGAAATATTTGGACAGCAAATATGCTAAGTGTTTGGCATAGTTCAGTGAGCTGATAAAATCTATGGAAACAGTTGACGAAGTCTGTTTTACGCCACGTGGTCCTTCGGTGAACGATCACACTGGTAATATCCAAGCGAGTGAGTTCTTGGCTTTTTTACTAATGTCCAACTCGAGCCAGAACCGGCACATGATTCGATTTCTCCCGTTTAGGGTAACGGCATCGACGGTTGATAGGTAAAGACCTGTAAATATTAATAAAACTACTTATGGAAGACTGTGTTAGTGATTGAAATTTTATCAGCACTGCTTGCTGAACAGGCAGCACCTAACTCTCAACGACAGCGACAATAAGCGTAATGCGCTTCATGCCTGGGAGAAATTTCACTGAGTTAAGCTACAAATTGCCCCATAATTAGTACAGTATGAGAACCGTTAAATGGCTCAAGGAATTTAAAGTATTTACGAGACAATTTCGGTGCTTTACTTTTTGACAATTTAGGCTACACGGTAAGTGACGTTCAGTTTATTGTCTTCCGTCAGTACGCTTCTGTACCAACATATTTATGTCACAGTAAATGACCTGGCGGTCCACAACAGAGCGTAAACAATGGTTTAGTTGGTATAATTCTTTCAGCACTGAGTTTCGCTTCTGCCTGTCTGCCAAGGTGGGTCTCGTAGTGCGGCACTTATGAGATCTGTCTTCCAATAAATTAATACTGTTCGACGCAATTCTACCGTAGCTTGCACAAAATTGTGCTGGATTTAGAAAAATGAAGACCTTAGTTATTTTGTTTGAGATTACAATTATTTCAAATAATTCCGACCCCGCACTTGGATTTCACGCAGAAATTAAGCACGGATTTACTTGATGTTCAAAGTAGTATCTCACGTATGCAAATAAAATACTAAACATTTAAAATCACACAACTATACATCTTAAGCGTTTTACGAACGATTTTGGCCATCTACTGTTCTGATTTACCATAACACTCAATAGACTTTAGAAAAATGAACGGGTTGTACTTAGTCACCAAGTTTTCAGGTGTTACGACGGGGTTGGGAGAAACAACCGTAACCCGAGATGAATTATACACCACAAGAGACATAATTCTCCAATGCGCTTTCCTCAGTCATAATATTTCTTGTGGCAGATGGCGCCCTAGGCGTTGGGGAAGCGAGCAACACTAGGTCTGAGGGGTAGCAACCTTTTATCTTATGAAAAGAAATATTTGGATGAACGGGTGAAGGACGTTCATTCTGAGGTAGAAGCATACAGAATTGGCGGACAGATGTTTTCTCAGTCGCTATCAAAGTTGACAGCGTAAGTGACAGGTGCGCGTCAGCTGTTGAACAATGAAGAAGCGGTACACCGCTCCTGTACCGAGTGTCAGTCTGATTGTCTCTACATTCCCTAGTCAGTTCTGAATGAAACAAACACCACTTTTGTCAAACAATGATATTATTCAAAATGATGTCTAGTCGCCCCATTATCACTGAAGCCGATTTCACCTCAGCTGGTTAACAAGCTTGAGATTGTTCAATCTAGCGATTTACTAAAAATTTGCATCTTCAATTTTCAAGTGGGAACATTTGGCGGAGAAACAAATCCGGAATATGTGGGCTAATATTTCGCGAGATGCAAAAGATGGTGTCAAATGAGCTCAATTTTCCTCGTCAAGTCGAGCACCTGACTATGATATACATAGCTAACAAACAGCTTAACATCTTCATGATTAACTAATTAATCAGGTAGCATTCCAGAGCATCGTACTTATTATTTCAGTAAATTAGATAGGCAAATAGATATATACTTTGGCCGATCAGGTAGCAGATGCTTCATTCGTTGAGCTCACTAGCTGGCTTCTAAGCATTTCGTCACCCTGAGAGGAAAGGCTGCCAGTACTGGGTTCTTCATGTGTATATCCCACTTTAAAATAGGGTTTTAACCCCAATGTTGAAGGAAACGTGATGGAAAGAAGCATTAGATAGCTATTCAACTCTTGTGGAACACTTCAGCAATTTACGGGGAGATTTCAGTCCCCAAATAACTCTTTGAAAACAGAAGCAGGAGATGCATGACACGTCTGTATGCTTTCGCCTTCTTAGCCTCAAGTGACAAATTAGTTTTTTTTGACTTCACACCTCCATAACGCATACTAATCTTTCTAGAAGCTGTCGATGCCTTCACAATCAGAGGAAGGAAGAGAGATGGCAGCTGTCGACTGAAGCAAACAGAATGATGAAAGTCCCGATGTGAGCCCTATTCACGACGTTTGCAATCTGCATATCCGCAAAAGCCATTAGTGGGTTCTGTGACTACTTGGAGATGCAAAGACTATGAGCTGACCAGTTTAAAAAAAACCACTACCACGTCATTTGTGAGGCTGTAATTCTCCACATGACCGAAGAATTAATAATTGTGATGCGTGAATCAAAACGGTTCGCCAGAACGACGATTAAAACAATCACGCGATGCTTCACAAGATCAAACCAGTCTAGTATTCGACAATGTGAAGGGTCGATCCAGTGAGGGAAAGGCATAAGAATGGTCTATTAGAATAAATGGTTTGGAAATGTCTGTGGGTTTGGTCACCAAGAATTTCGAAGTAAAAGGCAGAAGTTAAGGAAAAACGAGAATAAGTTAAGAATGTAAACAAGTTTGTAGTGTAAGCAAAAAATCAAATAGATTGAAACACTTTTAGATAGTTCATCAGTGAAAGCTGTCTCCCTAGGGGAGTGTATGGATCTTTTGAACAAGTCTTCTGTTTCTGAAGACATACTGTTCGATTGAGCGTAAAACAGTCTAGGTCTGTGCAAATTTTGACTTGTATCTACAATTTGGACGCCTTCTTAGAAAGTACTCGTTGGACCGTTTTTTCCAGTTGGCTGATGACAGAGCTACCTAGGGGGGGGGGTAACACCATGTGTATCTTGTTGGCTCACTTGCATCCACAGGTACACTGAATTCGGTAGGTCGTGTTAGACAGGTTCGGAAGTAACAGCACGTTTTTAGTGTTTCTGGAATCCAGTTTGTTCCCTCGATGTGAACCATGCCATCTTCGTGGAACGTGGATCTGTAATCGGATGAAATTTCATCAACCTTAGGAGAGTGTGTTACGTCTGGACATGTATTGCGGCTTCTCGAATATCATATTAACTGAAGCATGAGGCGGCCCGACGCAGTACAGTTAGCTGAAGCGGACCATAACAAAGAGGAAGATAAAGCTGAACTAATTAGAGTCTCTTGTCAAAGCCAAATTAGTGAAAACGAGAGTAGTTATTGAGGACTCTATCCACTTCAAATGGCATATCAAGAAAAACAATCGGTTAAGCGGCAGTAGGTAAAACGAAGCATTCACCTCTTGGTTGAACAGACTTATCAGTAGGTGAGTTAGCCAATTTTCTGAATAATTAGTGTAGTACATTTATTTCTCCTTTAATATACTCTGGGTTAACCGTTTGGAGTGCCTGGTTGAAGAAAAAAGAACTAAGACTGTTTACTAGAAACCTACCAGGGTGTGAGTGATACCCACGGTAAACTATTTTAGTGAAATTTCCTCTGATATTTCTGCCGTCTACATGGCCAGCGCAGAAACGGCACAGGAATGGCAAAACAGCAAGACGTTCGTGTAGCGCTAAAGTAGGTAGCAAGGTATTGAATATACCCGAAAGCCAATGGACTAAATTTTGATACCGTGGGCTGTCCTTGGTCCAACTGTGGTCATGGTGATTAGGGCTTTCTGCATTTTAAGGAATGACCGTCCCCTGAAGGAGCAATTTCCAAAGCAGCGTATTTCAGTCCATACATATATTTAGTTTCCAACTTTCTGGATGGTATTTTCTGGGTTCGAACTCAGTTCACGCTTCCATTCAACGCAGAATTCGGTTGGCCCTTCCAACCTATGCAAACCACTTGACCCCTTTTACCCGGAAGAAGCTGATGAGCTTTCCATCTTTCTTCTACTTTGAAGCGCATACGATGCATGCTTGGCTAACAAATTCCCTTGATACCAAGGAGTCAGATCGGCTTAACCTGACTGGAACCAGCTAACAGTGTCAGCTGATGCTGTCTGAGTTTGGCTGGACTGATTAAACAAGCATTCCAATTTAGTTTCGGCTAGAAAGATTAGGTGCACCCTGATGCACTGTTGCTCTCTGTTCCACTGACAAAGCCTTCCTTCCTAATTCAGTTAGCGACAAGCTTGAAAGATTGATAGCTATATGCAAAATGAAAAAGTGCTCCCTCGAAGAACTGAAAGCAAGTTTTTGAGACTTTGATTTAACATTCTGAGGTTAAACCGGTTTTGTAAGGCGAATACAATCATAGTTTGCACTTACGGACTTGAAAGAAGCGGCCCGGTATTTATTCTGGTAAGCTCAGAAATAGAAGTTTTTTCACAATTACTCTATGGAACCCACTGCGTCGAATTTAGGTTGTCTTTTACTCTAGAGCAGAAACGTGGTTCACTTGAACGCCACAGCAAAGAGCCGAAACGATCAACAGGATGTTTATAGCAGAATGCAGACTTCCAAACAGCGAACCTATTTTAAGGAAAATCTTACATTTCAGTGCATTTATACATCGGTATTTTTTATTTCAGCTAAAATGTTCACACCCGTACCAAACATCGTGTTTTCAAAAGCCATTGGATTTCAAATTTGATTCAGTGTGTTTCTACAAGGTGTATGTAGAAAGCACTTGGCGAGAAAAACTACAGAGGGGTGAATATGAGAACAATGTTTGAGGACGAAATGAAAGTCTGTCATTATGTCATAAGTAACGTGGCCGATTTCACATGAGTACTTGAAGATATTCCGATATGGGATGAATCTTGCTGAAAAATACACGGTTCTTAGTCAGATTAATTTCACTGGATGAAATAACAGGTAGGAGAACGTCTATCTATGCAAGAGAGTACTTTTACTATGAAAACTGACTTCCATCTGCAAAGCTACCAAAAGATATGGATGGAAATCGGTTGCTTATAGAAACTTGTTTGCATTAGTTACGCTTTTCAATTAGGTTGAGATTTATTGGGGGTAGCCCCAGTAAGCCTCGCTCACCTCACTTACGAAAACGAGTGTAAAAACGATATGCTTTGGCCAGGTTTGTCTTAAAACACAACATTTACGAAAGTGTTACTCTTTCTCTAGTCGCATCTTTTACCTCAATTTTCCTTGTGGTAAGTAGATAATTCAGTGACAGCTTTCAACGGAAAACCCATGTGATGTGTATTCATGTAGGTTCCAATTGGCTACAGTTGAGAGTCAGCCAGATGTAAGAGCCATACGGTACCAGGAGATCAGTGAATGCTAACAAATCAAGGAGCACCTTTTGGCCTTTCGTCAGCTTTCGGAGTGTTCAACACTGCGTACTTCATACACCTGTAGTAGTCAAGTCGCCAAGATTAATCTGTGTTTGGCCTGTCCCTCGGAGTTCATCGAGCACAAGCCGAAATATGACCTTAGATCCACACATGTGGCTCCAAAATTGAAAGGCATTAACACGCTCAATCTCCCAACGTTTTGGAAGATGACGGCATCTGTCAAGGAAGTTGAAAATTTATCTTTGAGCCACATGTGCTCGACTAGCTACGTGGGTCTCCTTCTAGCCTAATTGCATTTTTCTGCTTATCCACATACATTTGTCAACTCATTACCTCCGTGAACCCCAACTTATGTCCAGCGAAAGTAGGCGAGCTCATCCGAACCTCCTATGCTACGCTAATCTTTCAGGAATCTGACTGATTAATGCAGTGGTCTCACTAAGCACTTCCCTAAGGGCTGCACCCACACAGCGAAGGCCACTTCACTCAAAGTCCATGGAAGTTCGTCTCAGAATGATGATTCTACAGAAGCCATTGTAAAATGCCGTAAAATGCTGATTCGGGTCATTCTCTGGCACAAAAAGGGCTTGAGTTAAGCCAGGCTACCTAGTTCGTTTATTGACCCTTCATGTATTTTAGAATAAATTGGGAAATAAAGCAAAACTATGCGATCAAAACTGCTTGCACCGTGCGTTTGGTGACTGCATCTAGATTCCTATACATTTCTTCCAAACAATAAACTTCCTGTTTTGAAAATGGCACTACTCGTATAACGGTGATACTACTGATGGGAGAGGCATGCGCGTAGTATATTTTCTTCTTGTAAATTCGCTTTGCGTCCCTTGAAAAGGGAAACCTGTTGCGGAATTTGTGGAGTCGCTTTGTGGCACTTGCTTGGATTTGAGAAACAGTCAATCAATACACAGGAAAGTTCAGGAAGACGCGTTCCAGAGAAGATGGGTGTTCAGTTTTTATAAACAAGATGCATATGATAGTTTTGTTTCCCTGTTCAATAGTCTGCAACTGGTCAGTTAGCATTTCCTAATAATTCCGTAGCGAAGGCCTTCTTTCTTTCGCTCGTAATATATGCTATCACGATTATTCCTCGCAAATTATTTATTCATTTGAATGCCTCCTAGAAGTTACCAAGTATCAAAAGGGATCACCATTGCTGTTTCTGCATGCTATCACTCCACAAACATCAGCTTCGAATGAGGAGCTCCTTCATCTAACTTGGAGCAATCTCAGCAGCTGTTCGGCTGTTTTCTGCCCGCTGAGTTGAAAATCTGCCTGCAATTATTCCATCTCTAGTCGAGATGGCGTATGTACGTAGTAGATTAGTACTACCCCACCGTTCGGCAAAACGTCAATGAGGGGACCTTGGAAAATGCTATTTGTGTTTAAAAGCCTGCCGGTCTGCCAGGACAGACTAGCCAGGTCAACGTCGTCCTTTAACCAGTTGGTCCCCTCTCGGGCTGATTGACTTCCAGGTGACCCCCGACTTGACATCATGGGCACATCCAGCGACCATCGTCTTGTGGGTAATGATTGTTCAGCTTGACACAGATCAATCGGGTCTGGCGGTTTCTGTCCTCGAGTTATCTGGTTCAGTGTGCCATGTCTGGCTTTTAGCTCTGTGTATATGTTAAAGCGATTCGACGTGAATGATGGCGACCAGGTAAGTGTAATCGTGCTCCTCGTGTCCCAGGCCACTGAAAATGAATCCAAAGGGTTACAAGCATGTCTATACTCATGAGGTTGTAAACAAGCTTGCTTACATTCTCGGTTCACTGATCCAACTGCTCGCAGTGCCTCATAATTCAGTAGTCCTTCTGTTACCGTGCTTCGCGTAAAACGCACAGATATACTCTCATTTGACTATGGTGTTTAGAAAGGGGAAAATAGTTACATTGGCGTAAAGCGCACACAGTCGGTACCATTATCTAATGAAATCAAAATAAAACGCATCCATTCCAGAGAAGTCGTTGTTTGCGGATGATAAAGCTGGTCTTCAACGGATGATTCCTCTCATACACCATGATAAACAGATGCATTCCGCCATATACTTGATCTGAATGTATGTATGAAGAGGTTCTCTTCAATAAACTTATAGTTCGCCTACCATAATTCCCCCAGCGCCTCTTATACGCGTATAAAAATTCGCAAAACAATAAATTCCCCACTATTTGAAACACGGTAAATGAGGGTGCTCATATCTATCTCATTCATCAACAGGATTCATTTGTCCAAGAACCCGTCTTGATTTTCCATATGCGTCCTCTGGTTCGCCTAACGAACACAACGCAAATATAACCGACGGTTGTTTCAATCCGACCGTCGGACACCAGCGCAGCTCCATACTGCCAGCCGGATCAGTAAACCTGTCAACAATGACGCTTCAAGAAAGGAGAAAACAACGACGGATTCGCACAACTTTTACTAGTTCGCAGTTAAAGGAATTGGAGAGAGCGTTCCAGGAAACGCATTATCCTGACATTTATACGAGGGAGGATATTGCACTGAGGATTGATTTGACTGAGGCGCGAGTTCAGGCAAGTCTGTATTACTGAGTAAAACATTATAACAAGATTTCAAAATTTAATTTATAGATTGGGTAACATTCTCTTCAAACCTGAGCATGATGGAAGTGCAACGGACCGTATATTATAAAAACCAATGCTTATTTCATCGTAATAACTGCGCCATATATCACCGATCTTCAAAGTCCCGTAGAATACTGGTGTTCACTTTTCGAAACTATGTCGTAAGGAGTCGATCAGATTCTAGTCAGTCAGATTTCCGCTTGATCCTGTATAATGCACAGAGTTCCATTCTATGCCCATTATGATGACAAATGATGGTGGCTTTGCTCCGAAATTGACACTTAAATACGAGCTAATTACAGGCACGGGCAGAATAGGGCTGGTGATGTGCGACAAATAACGCCTGAGGAAACTGACTACTATACACTTTTCAGTAGTTAAGGTGAAACAGAATGCACGTCCATATTACTCGAAAGGAGGTTTGCCGTATCATTGCTAAAGTGCACGGTGGAATTAACTGATCCAAGTGGGACACGTACCTCTTTCATAATAGCTGCCTTTTATGCCTATTGTACTCAATAAGAAATTGGTTAATCTGTTTTACCATGCCAGTCACATCCCTTAACGCTACTTTAACCTCAATTCGCAGACCAGAACCAACAAGAATTTTTCAATGTCGGACTGAGCAACATGTGCTTTGATACGTGCGTTGTACTTCTGGAAGAAAGGTGGCCTTGGTTGCTAGTGTCAGCATTCAGATTAAATCAGCTGTTCGGTGATCGGAAGGAAGCTTCGAGCCATTATTCGTTATTTTTCCCCTTTTGGCTGGCACCCAAAGACACACGAGCTTTCTGAACAATGGCGCTTTCCAGAAAAGTAGTGCAGGGAAGACGACTTGCGTGTAGAACAGCGCAGAAGGTCACAGTAACTGAATGGAGGAATATCTGTGCTGCTCAGTTAGAGGTGACAGGTACACCCGCAAATATTTACTAGCTCGTTAGGACATCCCAAGAAAGCATCCCTGGGTCACTTTGGTTATTCGTCTGGTTCAGGATGCGCAGCAATAAGTTCACTGCTCGTGCTGATTCAGACAAACCGTAATTTGATACGCATGGGATTAACGGCGATTTGATACATATCACTATTATTCCTGGCGGGAACTTCGGGCTGATTTGGATTCAGGTGGCCTCGCAGATAATTAGAGAACTTACTAGACGAAGGCTTCGAAAAAACGTTGAAATGCATACATGTTGACAAGTAGTTGGACTCCCGGTTGGCACACACTATTGATATCAGATGGGATTCTCGCTTCTCTCTCCGCCGTGCTGATTGAGTACACGAGAACGACCAAACTAGCTAAATGACTAGAAGTCAAGATTGGTCACAAAATCAACGCCAACCTCTTCGAAATTTCAGCGCATTCAGTGACTTGACCTCTACCGCTGCTAACTCCCAGGTTATTCAGAAGTTATTGCATGACTGTAGAATCCGTATGCCACAATAAGTGGACTGCACGCTACAAAGCTTTCGCATTCGGATAGGAGATAATATCCTAGAGAATAAAAAAGTGATTGAAACCACACTCTGGGAACTCCACTGATTCCAAAGGCTTGTAAGGGAACTACATTCCAGGAGCTCCGTTATGTCCCTAGGAGCACAAACTCATACACACTAAGTTCCCAGGAAGGTTCGAAGCTACAAAATCTCCGATGGGACTGTGTCACAACACTACATATTATTGCCAAAGGGCCCTGTGCTGACTACAAACAACCCGTAAACTAGGATCTCAAAGTCAACGCAAATCAGTCGAAGCAATTGTGTTCAGCATGGCTCGACATGGTGGGAAACACGATGAACGTGTCCTGATTATTTGAGAAGATCAAGCCACTACACTCAAACTTCTGTCCACTGCTTCTAAACTGCACTTTTCTTTGGGCATCACAAGCGCGAATCATTTGTTCATACCAGCGATGACCCTGGCAAATCCATCACTTCCTAACCTTTGTATCTGCTGATTCGCCGATGTGTTGTATCTCACTTTTGACCCGATCCACTGCCTAGTGGCGGAAAAAGACTCACTGAGGGAAAAGCGACAGCTTTATTTGGAACAAGTGAGTGCCAGAGCGTGAGTGCGTGTGAGTGCGAAAATACAGCGGTCTCAAGTTATTTATTGGAGATACACCGTCTGAACATTGGTCCAATGCTGACGCAAGCGGTCTGGCCTTGGTACGAGGCTGCGACGCGCTGCAGCGCTGTCTGCCTAATCAGCAACTAGCAAGCTGAGAGTCTCAGAAATCTGACCTTTCTGATGCTAACCAGATGAATCAGGACGTTTGTACTCAAGTGGACACCTTCGCCATTCGAATTCATGTTTAGTTCCCTTTACCTGACCACTAGTCACAAAATGTTCAATTTTACTAAACGCTTGATCTGGTCCGTTGTGCCTTATATCATGTTTATAGCGCAGATCATGAACCAGTGCTTCCATTTGAAGTGAGCTGATTGTTTACTGAGAAAATGTGGTTGTCCCTCACGCTGAGAGCAATAATAAGAGTGGTCACCTTGTGTTGTCGTCAGCATTTTCGGTTTATCCTAAAGTGCGCGCCTTCGATAGACGAGTCGAATGTATAGTTCAAGTGCATGCATCGTTGTATATTTCGGTCAGCTAAAGTCTCATTCATTCAAGACATTCGACAGACGGAATTTGTACCCGGAATGCCAAGCATCATAGTCCTACGTCATGGGTGATATTAATGGTATAGAGGTGTCACATATTAGGAGTGAGGCACTGGCGATTTTACGCAGTTGAGCTATATTGACCTCCAATGTGTTCCGCGTTCAGCGGTAACGCACCTCGGAATATCGAATACTGCTGCTGACAAACGTTTGCCCACGAGCTCATGTAAGACAACACTACTCACCAAATTCTGCTATCCTCACTACACTAGAGGTTCAAGTGACCCACAATTCATGAAACGTTGCTTGATATAAAGCTGCTTGTTTCTATCTGTGATCTAAGCGCATTCCAGTCACAAGTACTTCTACTTGGCAACAATGGTCATCAGCAGAGAAATTCCGGAACTGGTCATTTGTTGGCTTCATTTTCCTGCAATCTCTTTGTTGTAGGTTTGGTTTCAGAACCGGAGGGCAAAATTCCGGAAACTCGAACGTTCTGTGCAACCCGTATCAAGATCCAATCCACCAGAACTGCAGCTTATGGTTGTTCCGGAGACCACATCGACCTTTGAACCAGACGGATCCCTAAAACACAACAAGAAAGAACAACAGTCCGATCAATTTGCTCATGCGATATACGATTCAAAAGAGGTTTTACGTCAGCCTTCCGATCGAATAAAATCGGATGACTATCCTGGAGTTGATGGAGGTTCACCTGTACCTCAGGCTCCAATATATCAATCACTTCTAAATAAAAGTGAATCCACCGAAGCCATCCACGGATCTGCTTCTATAGCACCTCCCAATAGTTCGGACGGAAGTGCAATGTACCTCCAGTCTTTTTCTGATGCTGATTACACACATTCTCCAATTAATGCACTGACGCAACACTGGACGACTTCGCCTGCCCATTTGCTGGCAAACAAGCTAACATTTGGTTCCTTAACTTCCAATCAACTTGATGACGCCTACCACGGATCGAATGAGGACCCATTTGTTGTTGGTGTGCATCCATTACATCGTTTGTCTCAAACATGCATGCAAGTAGATAAGCTTCTGGGACAGAATCTCAGCGAGATATCGGGCTCAAAAGTGGATCGAAGACGTTCACATTTAAGACGGTGATTACCGGTCTCACAACGCCACAGAGGTGGACGTGCTTAGCTATACCTCGTGATGCTTATATCCAGGACAGAAACAGAACAATCAGAAAGAACTCGGGATTATCAAGCGAATGAAGCTTACAATCATGGATCTCCTGTGTTCAATATGCATATTCTGATCTTGAAACGTACTATAATTTCATTTTTCCAGCGTTTCAATACGAACAACTCTCCCAGCAACTTGACACTTCAGGTGGCGAAAACTATTCAATACATGCGTATCAATTAAAAAGCGTTGGGGAAACTTTGGTCATATTTGTTCACCTTTTCTGACAAAATCCTTCATTTGCTGGATTAATACATTGAAACTACCGCGCAATTTTAGCGTACATGCTGGTCCGGTAAGAGGTATCAATATGAGATGACCGGCTATATTACTACGATTCTGACTGGCTGCTCGAGCAGCGACTTCGACTTTGTAGGTTTTCTGAAAGCCTCTCCTAGTCCATTCGTTTACTTCAGTGTCTGCACGAGGTGGTCTGCGTTACCTTATCCGGTCACTGGACTATAGTTAAAGCGTTTAAATTTCTTGACCTACACAGGCACTGGACATGAGTGAGAAATTCGTAAAACGAAGCGAAGGGGTAAATTCCGCTCCAGTTGATTCAGTGGCATGTGGGGCGAGAATTCGGATGTGATAAACAGCCAAGAAAATAGTGTAGGAATCCTGCTGTCCGACACGATAAATGCAGTCAAATAGTTTGAAGTACACCGAGTCTGGATAAAAGTCTGGTGGACAGATATAATCTGGCACAGTAAGACGGTTCACCGGACTTCCACACCTTCAAGATTTCCCACTCAGGTAGCGTTATATATGATCGCGCATCATGTGTCAGATGCTTGAAGGTCAAACTGTGAGTTTTTAGGTATTAACTCAACAACTTGAGAGCAGGAGTATAGAAGACGGACTGTTGTAGTGAGAGTGGCGTGAAACTGATTTCTACGAAGCCCGAAACCACCTACAACTAATAAAAAAATCGAATACACTTGAATACAATTGAATGCAATTGGATACATGAGACATTATTCAGGACGCATACGATAAGGATGCTCGATTTGGTTCAATGGTTTAGAAGATAAGAACTTGTTCTTTCGAAGCTTGTGCATTCATTGCAAACTAGATGAATGTAGCCCTATGTAATCAGGAGTAGGACCCTCGTGAAAGAGCCTAGACTTCAACAGGTGCCCACGAATATAGCCTAATCCGTTTCGGTTAGTTGAATTATCATAGCATGAAGCTACGACTTCCTTGGGCGAATAATATCACAAAACGTAATTTGAGGAAAAATGCGCTGCACATTTTCTTGCAGCAATGTAATCGCACTAACTGCCCCCATTGTTGTATTTTTGACGTACAAATTGTGCTTTGTGTCGAAAGGTAGTAGGCAAATTTTCAGCCCCAGGTAATTGATTATTTGGTTCAAACAAGATATCTTCTGAGTGGCTTCACATACCCTTGTTCATTTTAAGCCTATCCTAGCGGAATTCGCTGCAACGTCTGATGCAGTTTTCCACAAAGCGAATGAACAAGACGCACCCGAAAACGGAACTTATGTGACTTTTCGTCAGATATATTTATGTTCATTTCGGCGGTGCTAGAAAGCCCAATATTGGTGTATTCGTCGTTTATCTTCCCGTGATATGGGGGGAGGGAGGAAACCCAGGCACAGATAATGGACATCAGCGCTTGATGATAAGATTGATTGATAAGATTGCTCAAGACCCTAGGGCAAGCCACGATCGGTTTTTCCGTACGTTGTGCTCGGCAGCTAGGCACAATTCCCGATTTTCCGTCAAGCATATTCTGCTTGAAACCAATCTGGACAGATTCCGAAAGATACTCGCATTTGCACGATGACTTGGTTTTGACTGAAGGCTCTACTGACTCAAGCTGAATCGGCTGCTTATGTTCGCCTTCCACAACTGAGTGTGCTTCACGAGGCTACCTCGTGTTTCAGTTTGCACGATATTCGGGATACCGCAGTACGTCTCATAGATATGATATGGTGTCTCATGTGAAACATTACACGTAAGGTTGCTGAGAACTACCGCGACCGCTAGTTTTCCATTTTTGGTACCCATCATATAGGTAGATTAGATGTGGACAATTATGAGGAAGAGATTCAGCTGGATTCTGTGGAGTCTCCCGCGTAACTGAATCTCCAAACGATAGTGTCCGTTCGTGGTTCTTGTAGCGGACTAGGACCTTATCAGCGTCTTCGGATAAATTAACAAGCAACGTAACCAATACAAAATCACAAAATCACAATAGGAAAGGAATGAGTAGTCAAATGGGGACTCACGAATGTGTAGATCCAATACTCCACTACACCGATCCAAATGCAGTAACTGGCTGTGAAAGGAAATATTCACTTGTCGAAATTTCCCACAGATGGTTCCGCGTGAGTGATATATTCCACGGTAGGAAAATTATTCACGGCTAAAATATGTCACAGGGATTTATTGCGACGTTCAACAGTTGACACAAACACAGAGATTTAGTCCCACTGGTTCAACGGTCTACAAACAGTTCAACGGGGCGTAAATACAGTCGTTCAGCAAGAAGTCAGCAGGCCACGCCGGAAAATTGTGTATTCGTAATCACCGGAAATTGTGTATTCGTAACATTAAAACAAACGACATGATACAATGTGAACGACTGTTTCAAAGTGTGTTTTAAGTTCAGGAAGAATGGTAAGTGTGACAGCGGATTACAGACACTACATTCTTCGCCAACGTTATGACCAAAGCTTAACTTCTGGAACTACGTGCCAACTAAAGTATGTGGTCACCTGCTAGGACATATACATTGTAGCAAGACCCTTGTGAAAGGTAAATTCAGCTGAATTCAATTGGGTTATCCGTAACCACAAAATTAGCGCCTAAAGTGAATATTTAGCTAATCAATCTGAGAAAATTTGGGAGTGCCTGGTTCGCATCCAGGAGGGGTTTTATGTGCAATGACTAGCTCGTATGGACTGTCACCGAATCAATCCCCAAATGACAGGAGGCTGAAGGGAAAGAACAATGCAACCTGTAAAAACTGAAAAGCGGGAATGAAGCCAAAATGCACTCCTGATCAGTTTGTCAGAACTGCACATTCCTGGACCGGTCAGAAGTGCTTAACCATGGGTTGTGACTACTTGTGAAAGGAAGAAGGCCTTCGCTGCGGAGTTGTTTATTCGGAAATGCCAACTAACCGGTTACAGACCATTGAATAGGGGATCACAACTCTTAGTTACAAAAACTGGACACAGATCTTCTCCCGTACGAGTCTTCCTAGAGATTCTTTGCCACCACTCATTCGTCGGTCAAATCCGAGCAAATGTTTCAAAGTGGGCCCACGAATTCCGCAACAGAATTCCCTTTTTCAATCGACTCAAAGCGAAATTCTACGAACAACACATACTACTCGCGTGCCTCCCTAATCAGTAGTATCACCGTTACACTTGTAGCCGATTTTGAACTTTGCACATTAGTGAAATTGACTAGGCATGTGAGTTTGTTAGCGCTTATGTGTACCGGTCAAGCGATGTCACTCGAATTAAGTCTACTGGTGGCCGGTGTATAGGTCATCCCAAAATGCCCAGTGAACTCACTGTAACAATCAGTCCGTTTAGTAGCACTTATACTCACCCCAGTTCGTTATGCTGAGAAGAATATCTGTCTAGTTCTGGTACTGAGTATTTCACAATCACATACTATTTGATGAATAGGCGGACTCCAGTGGTTAGGTTAGGAATTTGACGGGAAATTCAGTCTATAAAGATTGTTGTGACAAATGCACTCCCGATTGACACGATCAGATGCGTCAAACGCCCAGATACGATAGATAGAAATACACTGCATCTGGACACTAACAACCTAAATAGACATGTACCAGCGAATGGCTCATGGTTAAAGAAAGAATTGGAATGGACACAAGCATGATGGAACTCATTCCAAGTTACACTTACTTTTCCACTCTTCTCATAATAAATCTCTCTTCATCTGATCGCCATAGTAACGCTATCGTCAATGAATGTGTCATGTTAGGGTTTGTTTAACTCGAACTACAGTTGCTTCTGGTCCGGCCTCACGCAACCATTTCAATCCAACCTTCTGAGACAGACAAAAAGCAGTGCACCATATTAAAACGTTAAAACGACAAAGATCACTGTATACTCCCAGATTGCAGTGTTATCCCACTCCGATTCCCCTGTTATGTGAGCAAATAGGAAACACTCGCGTCCGGCGCGATGCATCGTCTTGATTGCAATGCTACCGAATGAGTGGAAATTAGATATCCTTACTGCAGTGAGATAAAAGCTCAGATATTGTGGTGGTTGCGAGAGATTTGAATGCGCGAGTGGGCACGCTTAGCGTATCTGAGACTCAGTTAGATGGTTGATATGGAGTGGACTGGGTACGAACGGACATTGGCGAACGATTGCTTCACCTGTGCGCTGAACGCAAGCTGTTTGTATAAATAGCAGTAATTTTCGAAATATCAGAAGTCATCTGGCAACACGGTGTGCTCCAAAGGCATGTCGCCTGCAAACTCACATCGATCACATTATCATCAGCTGTCGATTGCGTGGGTCAATAACTGACTGGCGGTCGTTTTGGAACACATTTTGACCACGCATTCGTCTGGAGTCGCTTCTCCCTTCGTTTTTCAGGGTCGTTTAAGGCGTGGAAAAAGATAAATCCACCGATTGTTTATAAAACCCCTCTGAAAGAATGCGATTAGTTTATTGACACCACTTTTCAGGAACTGGCACGTCATCAAATCACCCCTGTTGTTGTTTTCCTCAACAGAGAAACTTCATGAACGACACGAAAACAGGTGTCAGTGGTGCACACAGAATTATTTGAACATGACGAGGAGGATCGAATAGATGTATCATGAGGAGTCTCTTGTACTGCCGCGTTCAAACGCAGGGTACGTGACGTCACCAGAAATGATGGAATGAATCACC